CTTTCCCATTTTCTTTTTAAGGGTTTTTTTTCAAGATTGCACATAAATTCAGCACTTCTAAAGCAAAACAAACAAACAAAAAATCACTTAAACATTTCTTTGAAAAACTGTATTTAAAAGATGACACAGTATAAGGAAAATGAGAGAAAGAACAATGCAACAGGCACTGAGGCCAGGAGGTGATCAAGCCCAACAAACACTGAAACACGTCTGCTTCACAGCAAAACCTCCCTCAAAATGAAAGTACCAATGAAGTCCAGACTGCACTCGCATTTCTTCCCTTTTTTGTAGTAAATATTATAGCTATTTAGAAGGGCACTGCTCTATCACAGTTTCTTAAAAACAATAAAAAGGTAGCTAGTAAAAATTTAGACCATCAGCAGCATCTGGTATCGTACAAGATCAAAACACGACAAGAGATTTGTGCAACTCACTGAAAACTCTTTATGCCGCTCCTATGAAAAAATACTGTCCTTGGCTTTAAAAAAACCGCCTAGATCAAAGGTTTGATTAATACTCAAAGTATGCAAATGGCACACTAATGAAAGTCCCTAATCCAGAAGACTTACTGGCTCAAAACAGGCCGTCGGTGCGATCCCAGTTGAACTTCACCTTACTGCGATGCCCAGCACATGCACATGTGACATTTGAGCACAGCCATTCCGAAGTGACGGCAGTTCCAGCTCGCACCCCAGTGCGATCCAGACGGAACGATGCCATCCTGCTCTCGCTGAGGCCATCGCCCCCACTATTTCCTGTGGGTTTTTTGCTCAGTGCAGCTCAAACACCCGCAGAAATCAGCAGGGCAGAGGGGCTGAAACCCCCATCTTCAGTGAAATTCAGACAAGTCACCACAGCTGCGAAGCAAAGTGCCAGCACCATCCCCCCGACCCTGCGAGGGATCCCACCACAGCATGGGGTGCTGTGTGCCTTGGGGACAAGCAAGCAGCAGACCTGAGGGCAGCAGCAGGTTCCAGCTCGGGTTCTCGTCCCCTGCCTGGCCCCCCTCGCAGCCGGGCGGGCAGGAGGTGAGTCCACACGCCAGTCACAAGCGGAGGGAAGAGGGTTTGTTCCTAGCTGATTTCACAAGCCCTGATTAGCAGACCATATACAAATGCAAACAGTTAATATTCACAGAGTAACCTCTTGTACCTAAATATTATAATAGATTTGACGTCATTAATAAATATATAAAATAACGTTAATCTCACAGACAAAACACATTTCAAAGGTCGGCGTTGACTGAAATATCCAGGCAGTTTGGTCATTGTTTAAAGCACTGAAGAATTATACACAGATAAGAACGTGAGTGTTAGGAACAGGCTCACAAAGTACAAACTTAAGCTTGGTTTAACATTTCTGAAGAGGCTCTGAACCAGGCCCAGAAGCTATTCCGAATGGCCTTCAAACAAAGGCCCTTGCAGCCATTGCATATTTAAGAAGAAACTGCTTTACGTTGTACCCATCCCCACACTTTGCCCAGATCAGCCGCAAAGCAGGCGTTGCCCAGGGATCAGCCCCGCAGGTGAGCGGGTCTGTCCCAAACGACGCTGCTCTACATTTCATGTAGTCTCACGCTGAAAAAGGAGATCATCCAGCCCTTAAAAGCCTTGGTCTGGGAGACGGAGACCTAGGCGCTTACTCCTAGCCCTGACACAGACTTCTGTCACCTCAAACCTGGCTCTTCATCCCTCTGTCTCAGGTCACCCGCCTCTGAAAAGGAGAGGCAGTAGTTCCCCATCTCACAGGACTGTTCTGAGGCTTAATTTCGTAAGGTGCTGTTGAAGAGTCTCCGAAAAGGCACTATAAAAGTGCAGCTATTACAATGTCAGGAAAGCAGACAGAAGTGTGCGTCCCACAAGCCTTTCCCGAGATGCGGATGTGCAAATCCAGAAGAGATGAGGCCTCGCGCTCGGTCGCACTTCAGCAGTCCCAGCACAGCAGCTTTGGTTTTTCCCACAGCTTCGAACAAGCTTCACCCTCCCAGGTCTCGGCAGAATTACTGGGCCGCCCCGTTTCGCAGGCTGTCTCCAGCCTCCACGTGCGCTAACGGGCTGAATTCGGGATGTGTGATCGGGGACTTCCTTTGGCCCCGGACAGTGTGCGCATTCAGCATCTCCAGCAGCAAGTCATACACTGGGACCACGTTCTTACACTTCATGCTCAGGAGATGTTCCATTCCCTTGTTACTGTGAAGGAGAACAGAAAACAAGTCAGCGGGCTGGGTCCGACAGTGCAGAGAAGGAAAACACGCTCCTGGCTGCAGGAGAGCCCTGTACTCACTAGGACTTAAGAGGATTTAGCTGCTGTGGTCTCCGAGAACACTTCCCACTATCAGCAGTAACAACATCCCAGTACTTAAAAGCTGAGTGTTTTACTATTTAGAAAAACAAGGTTTGTTTCACACCGCACAAACTGACCTCAAAAAATAACGTGGATTTACTGACCCCACTGAAATCAAAGAGAAAAACCTCTTTGATGCTGTAAATGTGGGAGGCCCGTACGTGGCATCGTTATACAAAAGGGGAATCTACAGTGTGTAGCTCTAGTGACTACCTGGACCACCTACCTCTCCTGCCTGCTTGAGCAGGAAGAGCAAACCACCCTGGCTGTCTTCAGGCAGTTTGCTCCCTCTCTGCATGTCCGCTGTCAGAGCTTGCAGATGGCTACAGGCTTCACAAGTCATTTTTCTTGTGATGCAGTAAGATACCCTGACACTTTGTTAGCTTGGGTGCTCTGTATCACGATCTGGACTAACAGTTGCACATCCATATACTTCAGATGCACTGAAGGTTTGGGGGCTGAAATCGAAGTGCACTTGTTCGACACCAAATTTATCACAGTGGAAACAGCAGCGGCCAGCCAGCACATAGCTGACCTGGGAGCTTCGGGGCGGGGGGAGCAATGCTTCCAGAAAAATGAGGTTCTGCTACAATTCCAGCAGTAACAATTAACTTCTAAATAAGTTAATGGCACAGAAGAAATTGCAGGCTTCCCTGCCCTACACCCTGCTCCTGAGGGTCCTGCATCATTTGGTAATCAAGGCTGAGAGCATCAATTCTTTCCTGAACAAAGTATGATTGACTGACCAGTGCTAAGCAGCATAAAGGAGATGGGGGCAACAAGTAGCCTCCGGAGTTCGGCTGAGGCAGGCACAGCATAAAAACTCTTAATAAGAAAATAAAAAAAATTTTTGCAAAGATTCACAACATTTATTCACCCCATGCCAGGACGAGAGCTCCTGCGACGCTGTGATGTGGTGTCACACCACTGTTTAAAAGCTGCCTTTCGGCACAGGCAGGTCCCTCCCGCTGCCACCTGCTCTCCCAGGGTGCTTGCTGTCCCTCCTCCAGTGTCCCTACACCAAGCCAGGCATGCCCATCTCTCCTTTGCGTGCTCCAGCCTGGGCCCAGGACTGTCTTCCCTGGACGCACGCTCCGCAGCCAAGACCTGAGACACCGCTGTGAATAGCTGGTCTCTGGGTGATAATTTAAAATGACAAACAGCCTGAACACGAACGCATCTCTTTGTAGGGCCCCGCGCTGGAGTCTGCTGTGCTGCAAGCAAAGGCGAGCAGCTCAAGGAGGTCCAGGAGCTGCTTCCCGTGGGGAAAGCAGGAGTGCGGCATTGCTGTAGCACAAGTCACTGGGAAAAAAAAATGCTATGGCTCCCAATAAAAGACAAGTTTGGCCCGGGTCAAACATGGCACGCAAAGCGCACTTTGCTCCACCAAAGCCCACCCTGTAAATCAGTTTTGAAAGAGGCTTTTATTTGGGATGAAAGGGTTTTGGTGGCTGGGTGGTTTGATTTTTTTTTAAAGGCTGAATTTGTGTTATTATTGTTAAACATTTCAGGCAGATACATAATGAACAATTCAATGTAATACAGTTAAGGCAGCATTTTAATATCAGCACAACGTTTTTGAGTGCCGGCAAGCACTTGAGTACATTGTCTGTTTAGTTGTGCTAAGAAGAAAATGCTCACAATGAGCAGCAGTGAAGAGCAGTCGCAGGGTTCCCTCAGGAGAGCTCTGGAGTTCGAGCCTTGCTTTGTTGCTGTCATGAACAAACACGGAGGCCTTGGGCGCTGCACCCATCCCGCGAGGTTTACCTGGCGTGCCTGACGTGAGAGAGGAGCATCAACAGGTTGGCCAGACGCGTCGTCTGCTGCTGCGAGGGGATCCCGCTCTTCGCGATCACCCACACCAAGGCATCAGTCACGACGTTCAGCA